AAATATAGGTAAGAAGATATATATTAACTAACTAGAAAAGAAAGAAAGCTACTAGAGAGTATGGAGTAATTTATAGGTATATATAGTAGTACTCGACTAGCTTAGGTAAGCTAGGTGGTTCCAACTAGGAGTATATGCCTACGTGACATATATCTATCTTAGTTATAAGCGCTTAAGTTACTTCGTCGTACCGCTATAACCGAATAAATAACTTTTACGTTTTACCTCTCTTCTCCCTTTACCTCTTATGCCTTCGGGCTAACGACTATTATATCTTTACGACAAAGGGGTATAGCTAAGATAAAATAACTACATTAGATTCTTCGTTTCTCGATTAATATAGTAATACTAGTTTCATCCGTCTTAGACCATCGTACGAGCTATAATCTGTAATTGAGTATACTTTCGAGTAAACCTATCCGGGACTCTAGTATCGCGTACGCTCTACTCCTCCTTAGTAAATATAATTAGAAGTAAATAAAAGTTTACTTCATAATCAATAATAAATCGAATACTAGTCGATTAATCTACCTACGCTATGCTCATTAAGTTCGTTATAAACTTTGCGACTTTATTCGATACAGTCTTCTTTTATGTTATTTCAAAATAAACGCTAAAGATTTAAATTAATCAATTAATAATACGAATCCTATTAAAGTTTAATACTAACGAAGTTATAATTACGGCAATGGGTATGAGTATTTAATTAATTATATTAAGAAGTAGGTTAATTAATTATCAACTAGTTATAGATCGTTTATTAATCGATTTATAGTATTTAGTAACTAAATATACCAGATTTTAATTCGGCTACTATCTTTTAAAAGTTTTACGTTTAATATTAAAGAAGAGCACAGCGTACGGGATACTAGAATCCCGGATAGGTTCATTCGAAAGTATACTCTATCGAAGACTATAATACGTACGATAATCTAAGATAAATAAAACTAATATTACTATATTAATCGAGAGACGAGGCATTTAATATAGTTATTATATCTCGGCCATGCCCTTTATCGTAGAGATGTAGTAATCGCTAGCTCGAAGGCATAAGAGGTAAGGGGAGAAAAGAGGCGAAACGTAAAAGTTACTTATTCGGCTATAGCGGTACGACGAAGTAACTTAAACGCTTTTAACTAAGATAAATATACTAATCGGAGAACGACGAATCTAATAATAAAAACGAATCTTTAATTAAGGTAAAAATAATAAAGATAGTAATTTAATTAGGTAGTAAATTTAATAATAAGCGTAGTATAGCCCGTACTTACGAGAGCTATAGTTATTATATATAGGTATAAGGCCTATCGTAGCGTGTTACGTAATGCATTAAGAGGGCATGTCTTACCGTACTACTATAATATTCGTATCGATTTTAATTATTAATATCTCGACTTTGATGTTACGAAATACGTCGAGGTGAATAAATATATTTAAATTATCATTAGAAAATATTTAATTGTTAATTAATTTATAATCATTTAGTCCGTAGAGAAAATAAACGACTATATGAAAAGGGATTATTAATAAATTTAAAAGTTTTAACGTTATATCTAGTATCTAATTCTAACGGTAGTATTCTGTCGTTAGCTATTTCAGAAGCTCGAAGCCTATCGTACTTTTTAACTACTGGATTAGTATGATTAAGATTAGGTTTACCTATTATTAAATTACGAAAACGTTAACGAAGGTATATATATTACCCCTCTTTAATTAATACATGATCGATTACTAATTAATTTATATAAAAATACCGAATTATATTACTAGGCTTTAATTTTACAAACTACTATTATTAATCTTAAACTTAAACGTAAATTAAAACGTATGAAAATTCGTTAACAAGTAGCCATAGTAAATAAAATCAAAGAAAAAATACGTTAATTACTGAACAGGAGCAGCGTGGGTAAGCTGTGATGGAGGCACGAGAAAAGGCTACCCAACTGCCAACAACTGGCCCAGTGCCGATCAACTAAGATCACAGCTGTAATCAGCTATAATCGGTTGATCGGCTAGCTGAAAACGGCAGCTGAGAAAGGGAACTAGAATGGCAAGGCAACGAGGATGGCGAGAAAAGGCATGGCAAGAAACGAGTAAATAGCTGATGGCTGTGATGCCTACAGGTCTAAGTCTAACTGATGAAAATATGAGTACGCGACTCATATAAATACACATCGAAAAGGCTACGTGGCCTAGATCCACCGCACCACTACATTACGCTTAACAAACGATAAAAAGGAGATTAAATCAACAGAACAACGAGCTAGGCTTAACATAAATTAATAGTTATTCGTTTAAGAATTAATTAAGAATTAACCTCTAATTAATTACCTATTTATTAAATTAAACTATTACTTCTCTACTAAACTATCTTAGGATAAATATAAAACTAATATATAAATTAGAATAAACTTCAAGTTATAATTAAGAATTAAAAGCAAAGGTATATTAATAATACCTAACTATGAAACTAACTTTAATCGATTTATAAGCGATTAAACTCTTATGCTATATACCTAAACCCCTCATTATATATTACGAGTCGATCCTTAATTAATTAAGAATCTATCGCGTAAAACGTAAACGTCTATATTTACGCTTTGCGGTATATAGGCTTATATAGGCTGGTTTAATTACTACGTAATATACTGTAGTGGTGCGGTGGATCTAGGCCACGTAGCCTTTTCGATGTGTATTTATATAGGTCGCGCACTCATATTTTCATCAGCTAGACTTAGACCTGTAGACATCACGACCTACAGCCATTCACTCGTTTCTTGCCATGCCTTTCTAGCCTTCCTCCTTTGCCGTTTCTAGTCCCCCTTTCCCAGCTGCCGTTTTCAGCTGGCCGATCAACCGATTACAGCTGTTTACAGCTGTGATCTTGGTTGATCGGCACTGGGCCAGTTGTTGGCAGTTGGGTAGCCGTTTCGTGCCTCCGTCAGCGTGCCCACGCTGCTCCTGTTCAATACCCCCTAGTTTTTAAACACCTCTAGTAGGTAGGTTAATAACTACTAACGTCCGACCGTCTCTTTCTTAGGGGCCCCTCGTAGAGAATTAAACCCCCTACCTCTTAGCGCGACGCCTTACTGCTAGTTCTAGTCTAGCTCTAGGGCTTTACCGCGTAAGGGGCTGCATTTTACCGTATATACGCAATTAAAGGAACCGAACCACTAAGCCAGCAGCACCTTGGAGCGCTAACTGGGCTCATAACTATCGCGTAAAACGTAGACGCCTATATTCACGCTTTATAATATATAGGCTTATATAGGCTGGTTCAATTACTACGTAACAGAATCGAATATACCTAACCAAATCTTTATATCTCTTTATCCACGTACTATTAACTGACTATTAATCGATTTCGAATCTATTAAGCCTTACTATTTCTTTCTATATCTAATATAATTATAGGTAATGGCTTCTTAAATCGTAGCCATACGTCGCATACGTTATCGGATATGGGAAAGGGATACTCTAATAATAAACGGTTAGTAATTAATTAAGATTCGATTAAAGTAAACTTACTACTAGTCTTTCGGCTCTTTATTACGTAACTATTATAAGCCTTACTATATAAATCGACTATTGTTCTCATTTACCGGCTATCGATATCTCTGTTCTAAAAGAATAATTAATTAATTCTTAATTAATTCGATTTTAATTAATACTTATTCTCTTACGTGGAATTATCAATAAAATAACAGTAATAAAGCGACTAGATTCTACGATAGGCTTCGTAACGGGCTTACGAGAAGTATTAAGAATCGACGAAATACTAATTAATTAATAATTAATTAAGAAATAAATTATATAGAAAATATACTTACTCTGCTTCGTTTCTAACTTGCGAGGAGTCCTCGTTAATTACTATTCGTTCCATTAATCGTTAATAGAATACCAATTAATTAGTAATTATTTAAAAAGTTAAATTAAAAATGATCACTTACCTATGGCTCGTTAATACTATATATTATTCATTACTCTAGATATATAATTCTTAATTCAATACTTATAAATACATTTTTAATACTATTAGAGGTAGAAAGTCGAAAATTAACGGATCTAATTAATTAATGATTAATTAATATCTAATTAAATATCAATACATACTATATTTCTATATATATTACCGTCGATACGAGCGCGACAAAAGAACTCTCCAAGTACGATAATCGGAAGGCCGGCCTAATTGATTAATAATTAATTATTGATTAATTTTAGGATAATATTTACCTCGTTTAATTCGAATTTTAACATACCTTTAAGGCGTGTCGTAAACGAACTATATTATTAGTACGCCTCATATAGCTACGTTAATAATAATTAATTCGTAATTAAATATATACTTATTAAGAATCGAATCTTACTAATAAACGAAAGTTATATAGCTTTACTATATTATTAAAAATGCGAATTAATTAATAGGAATATTAATTAATTAGGTAGTAGTAGGAGGCTAGTAGCGGCAGTAGGTTAGTTGTTATTATAAATAGAAGGGGGGGAGAACAAAAAAGGATAGTAAAGGAAAAAGGTATTAAGTAGGGATTAATTAGAAGGATCTTACCCTTAACCAGTTAATAATAGGGTTGGTTATTTTGGAAGGAGCCAATAGAATCTTTAGAAAGCCGTAACCTGCTTTAGGGTAAGGTTCAGGAGACTAGTTAGGCTAATCTATAGACTCTCTTCGAACCTATGGGAGCTAGTTCGCGTGTGTGGAATCTATCCACGATCTATCTTCAAACCTTTGGAAGAAGTATATAGGTAACAGACATAAAAGAAACAAAGGTACAAAGGTACGTACTTAGTAACCTAGAGGTAACCAGGTAATCCTATAAAATATACCTTTTTTAAAAATAAAGATATTATATCCGGATAGTAACTATATCGGGAAATGGTAATAATGTTAGCCTAAAGTTTAACTTACTCTTATTACGAGGTAGATACTATATCCAGTCATAGAAAGGGTTGCTGACATAGTATCAATAGACCCCCCCCTCCCTGTATGGTATTGAGTAGGAGGCGCCCACGTGTAGGAGGTACCTGTCATGATTCACATTTGAAAGGAGGACCTGGCCGAGAACTCGTAACCAAGTCACCTCATGAACCCACCCAGGTACCTAATCTGATCAGCATCCTTTGCATATTGTGTTTTCCTAGTACACCACAATGCCTTCGTTGAAAACCCAGAGTTATTCTATGCCCTCCTTAGCAATCCACTGTGTAGAGTAATATACGCAGCTGAGTTCTATGGTCTTTTTTCTTTGCTAGGCAGGACTGCGATTGCGACAATCCGTCTTTTCTTCGTCTCGGACGAGGAACTGGCCGACCCGCCACTATGGCCACGTTCCGCCGGTTTCGTCCAAATGACCTGGATCGATTCTCTAAGTGCAATCTCGACCCCCTGACCGAGACGTATGACTTGAGGTTTTACCTCCAATACTTTGCCAAATGGCCCTCTCTATTCCAGGTCGCCGAGGATCCCAATGGCAACATCATCGGCTACAGTATGCGCATCTCCTTGTTTTCTAACCCGCCCCCCTCCAACGCTTCTCGGTGCGTAGAGTTGCCCATCTAACGAGGTTCCATCTCAACCGCAGTCATGGGTAAGCTGGAAAGTTCGCCAGACTACTTCCAGTACTCAGAGCACTACCTGCCATGGCACGCGCACATCACCGCTCTCACCGTCGCCCCCGAAGCACGCCGACTAGGTATCGGGAAAATCCTTACTGAGAACCTCGAGTTTAGCGCCAGGGCCGCGGATGCCTGGTTCGTCGACTTGTTTGTAAGGAAAAGTAACACGAGAGCCATCACCTTTTACGAGAGCATGGGCTATAGCGTATATCGCGTGGTCAAGGATTATTACGGGGACAACGTCAATGATCCAACGGCCCATGGCGAGGATGCTTACGACATGCGCAAGCCCATGCCTCGGGATAAGGCGCTGAGATATATTAGGGAGGATGGAAGAAACCACGAGGTTCTGCCCGAGAATGTTTTTTGAAGGTAGAATCTGCCGTACACGCTACATTGCGCCATCGACAGAGTATACGCTACCACTCACATACTTGCTATCCGGGCCTAAGAGGAAGGCAATGATGTGTCCGCATTCCTCAGCTGTCCCCTGTCTGCCAAAGGCAGCCGTGTCGTCAAATGGGGCGTCGGATGGCCGATTGTGGATTTTCCAGTTCTTTTCCATCAGTGGGGTGTAAATGGCGCCCGGGGCGACGGCGTTCACTCGGATTTGTCGGGCACCATTTTCCTTGGCCGCGGCCTTCGTCAGCCCTACGACCCCGTGCTTGCTGGCATCATAAGCCCCGTGTTTGGCAAAACCTAGACTAGTGATCAGCGGCGGCATTCGCTAGATGAGAGGCTCAAATCGTGGAGTACCCTGAAGCCCGTGAATGGAGGAGACGTTGACAATAGAGCCACCATCAACAACTTTCCTAAGCTCGGCCCTAAGGCAATACATCGTCCCCGTAAGGTTAACCGCGATTATCTTATTCCACTCGTCATCGTCCAGGTCGGCAACGTCTCGTACGCCGTGATGCTTCCCGATAATGCCGGCGACATTGGCGGCGCCGTCGAGTCTGCCGTATCTCTGGATAATACTCTCGACCCAAGCGTCAACCTCGCTCCTCTTAGAGACATCTACTTTGGTCACCGTGAATGGCGCGCTTAAATCGGTGAAATAGCCTTCGGTCCTGCTGATGGCGAGCGGGTCTACGTCAGCGATGCAGACAGTTGCGCCTCGTCTAGACAAGATCTGTGCAGTCGCGAACCCGATCCCACTAGCACCACCGGTGATGGCGAAGACTTTGCCCTCAAGAGTCGTCGCCATGGTACCAGGTGTGATACAACAGTACTCGAGGTGTTCGTTGAGCCGTTGTGCAAGGCCAGCGGGGTCTGATATTTATCTAGCTACCTAGGTTAAGTCGGTAATAGCAACCCTGAGTGGCCAAATTAGGTGAAGGACGCCCGGTTTCTTGCGAAGCCACCCGCCGAATCATCGGAGCTCTAAGACCCGAAGCGAGTAATATAGAGCCTACGCCAGCGATCCTATCTCACTTTTTAGCGCATGCCAGGTTCAGAGAGGTGCCCGGTGTTGGAAACCTCCATTACGCGAGACAAAGAGCTTGGGGTCGTATTCCGAAGCAGGACAGCCGATTGGAGCAATATCTTTAAGCCGTCACCAGTACCGTGGCCCGTCGCTTATCGGTGGAAAATCAGAAAAACAGTGTGCCTATCGTAGACTATCTGTATGAAACCCTCTTCTAATCCTCAAAAGATAAAAATGTCTAATTGCATATAAAAGAGTAGTAAGCATGGAACGTTTATTATACATACGGATATGTTAAATAAGTATAGCCATCTAAGGAAAGGGTGAACAGTTAATGGAATTACAGCTATCTACGTGGCCTTTTGGAGCCGTTTTACGTACCTTTTATATCCCGATTAGCCCTCGCTAGGGCAGGGCTTACCCTATAGCTATACGTAACCGATTACGTACTTACGCGCCTATACGTCTTCTTAACCTAGGTAAGGCTATCGTTAGGCTCTTAAATAACGTAAGGCCCTAATTCCGTAATATTTTCCTTCTTTATCGCTCTATCTATATACCTATTTCGTTTAAGGAATAAGGCTATTACGGGTCCTTTAGATATAGTAACTTAATAAACCTCTAGTATTTCTTTACTTCTAAGAGCTTCGTAAGTTTATTAGCCGCGTTCTTAATTAATAATACGTATCTTAGCTTAACGTATCCCTTTTCTACCTCTTACCTTACGTAATAATAATCCTTTCGGATATATCGCTTTTATTTATTTATCGCGGTTTCCTTTACTTACGTATTGAGGAGGAGCAGAGCGTACGCGATACTAGAGACCCGGATAGGTTTACTCGAAAGTATACTCTATCGAAGACTACAGTACGTACGATGGTCCAGGATAAATGAAACTAATGTCGCTATACTAATCGAAAGGCAAGGAATCTAATATAGTTATCGTATCTTAGCTATGCCCCTTGGTCGTAGAAATGTAATAGTCGCTAGCCCGAAGGTATAAGAGGTAAGGGGAGAAAAGGGGCAAAACGTAAAAGTTACTTATTCGGTTATAGCGGTACGATAAAGTAACTTAAGCGCTTATAATTAAAATAGATATATTAATCGGAGAACGACGAATCTAATAATAAAAACGAATCTTTAATTAAGGTAAAAATAATAAAAATAATAATTTAGCTAGGCGATAAACTAAATAATAAATATACTATATCCCGTACTTACGGGAGCTATAGTTACTCTATATAGGCATAAGGCCTATCGTAGCGTATTACGTAATACATTAAGAGGGCATGTCTTACCGCACTACTACAGTATTCGCCGTCGTACTATCGCATCGTAAAGTAATTAGGCTTACGGGTATTACGCTTAATTCCGTAAGGAAATTACGTATCCACGCAGCATCTATTACCGCCGTCGATAAGGCCATATACTCGGCCTCTCCCGAGCTTCGCGCGACTACCGACTAAAGCTTCGATATCTATACGATCGGGGCTCTTATTATAAAGAATACGTAATTACTCGTTAACTTAACTATAAAGATATCTCCCGCGTAATTCGAATCTACGTAGCCGTAAAAACTTATTTCGTTATACTCTCTATAAGGGTAACTTTCGTTTAGTTACCGATACCGGATCCTTCGGCTTACCGTTCCTTTAAGATATCGTATTACGCGCTTAATCCTCGTTAAATACTCTTATAAAAGGTTATTTATAAAACGCGCCTAGGTCGAGGCTACGTAATTAATATTAAACCTCGTAATATATACCGGAAAATTCGCTTTTCCTATTAACGAGGCATACTCTTAAACCTTTCGTAGGTCGGCTTTATCGTTAGCCTTTCTCGGTACGACCGCGTCCCGATTCTTCGGGTTATACGGTAATAGATATAGCTTCGTATCGACGTAATTAAGCTCCTTTAAAGCCTTTTCCGTATACTACTACTTGTAATGGAATCCTTAAGCTAGGTAATAAGTATATTCCCGTAGTAACGTAAATAAGTACTTGCCTTCTAAAAGGATAAGAAGGCGAGTACCTAGCGATAGGCGGTCGCCTATATAGCGAGAAGCGGGGTAAGCTAAAACGGTTACCGCTTAGGAGGTACCTTCGTACCGGTATAGGTACTATAGTACCTTGTATCCTCGTATCTATCGCGTACTTTCCTATCGCTTCCTTATAATTATTCCCCCTTAAGTTAAGTAATCGTTCCGATTACGAATCGATATAGTATCGCTTACGTTATACTACTAATCCTATTAATTACCCTAAGGTATTAAATATTAAATCGGGCTCTGCTAATATAGCCGGCTAATTCTACCGATTAATACCGCTAACCGTTATTTCCTAGGCGTATATAAAAATTTTTCTACCGTTACGCCCGCTCTTCTTAACTCTCTCCCTTTCTCCTACCCGTCGGCTTTCCTCCTTCTCGCTACGTCTACCTATCTTATCTTCTTTTAATTAAATAACTAAACAAAAGCCGTCGAGCTATCCTCGTATCATTATCTCTATTTCCTTATTTTATTATTAATACGCTTACGATACGCCGTTTCTTAATCTCCCTTTTCCTTCTTAAGCTAAGCCCGGCGTAGCATAATCGAAACGCCGTCGTTAATATAACCTATAACCCGCTTACCGAATACGTTACGCCGGTAAAGAACGCCGACCTACCGTATATAATCTATTTCCGTTATCGCTTAAAATACTTCGAGATATCGTTCCGCTCCTTATACGTATTCCTTAACGCCGCTTCCTTTAAATACGGCCTCTATACCTACCGCCGTAAGGAATATACCCCGGTAAGTTATTATTATAGCGCGCGTTCCGAACGCGTTTCGTTAACGTATCGATATAGCTAATTAACGGTATTACCGGCGATACGCGCGGCTTATTTACCGTAATTAACTTTATTAACCGCTATTATGCGGTAAAAACTAACGAGGATAGCGAACCTAGCGAGTTCGTTTACTCCTCCTACTTACGAAACGCCTTCGCCGCCTCCGTCTACCGCCTCTTCTACGCTTTCGAGTAAATGGAAAAAAGCTATAGGGCTAGTTTTTATAAGAGTAGTACTAAGCGTAATCGCGCGATACGTTATCCTTATAATAGCGACGCGTTATCGACGCGCTAGCGTTTATCGTATATATCGCGCGTATTAATTCCTATATATAAAGGATTTAGGAATACGAGTTATAGGTAATAAACCGCCGTAACCTCTTCGCTACCCGTTACCCGTACCTAGGCCCCGATACCGTAAATAACCTTCGTTTCGTATATATCGCGTCGTTTAACCGTTATTTCTAGAACGACGCCGCCCTCGCCCGGTAATAACTTTAGGTTACCTACCGCTTAATAAGCGGCGACGTAGGTTTTTCCGCCTGGATTAACGCGAAAAACGCGTTTATACGCGAGTTAAACGAAATTATAAAGGAGTATTTAATTAATATAAAATATATCGGCGACTAAAACGAATTCCCCGAGCTTCCCGCTAACGATTAAACGACGCGTTAGTAACGTAAGGCCGGGCGCGGCCCTTTTTTTAATTTTCCCGTCGCTACGGTAACGCCTTAGTATCGTTTTAATAGTACTTTAGTAGGACTCCGGCGTTTCATCGCCGTTCCTTTTTTTTTTTTTTTTTTTTTTTACCTTCGGATATTCCTATAAGGTAGTTCTTAGGTATCCCCTTTAAGGAAATTTCAAAACCCCTAGTTTTAAGGCGACTTCTTTTTCCGCCTTTTTTAATCCTTTGCTTCGAACTACCTAATTTTAACCGCTACGTTACCTATATCTTCTTTCCGAACCTACTAGTTATATTCTAACGGCTAGCCCGTTTATTTTACTAAGTAAAAGGTATCCTTTTCCTTTTATCGCTTTCCCCGGACTTCTTCTATCTCTTATTCGTCGTCGTTTTCTTCTAGTTCCGATATAGTTAGGAACTAGGGCTCTTATTCTTACTTTCCTATCTTTTAAGGTTCTAGTAGGGAGATAGGGAAGATATTATATAGCGATTAATATTTTTCGGGTAAGGCTAAGCGGTACGCCGCCGATCCGATAATATCGAGAATCCGGAAGGGTCCGATAAATTTAGGTATTAATTTTAAGCTTATGCCTTTAAGCTTTAGGTTTTTTATAAAAAGCCTTACTAGGCTTTCTTTCTTTAGCCTAAGGGGTTTATAGCGTTTATTATAATACTTCGCTTACGATTCGATAGCCTTTTATTAATGTAGTCGTACCTTTTCGCGTATATTTTTTAGGATCTCTATCCTTTCTTTTACTACCGGTACCTCCCTTTTAGGGACGTCGTTCCTAACGTTAGAATCTATTATTAGGTAATACCTTATTAGGAATATAAATAATAATAATCCTATTATTACGTTCCTTACGTTATTATAAGTAAATTATACTTCGCTTAATATACTCGGTTAATTCGCTTACGTATCGCTAACGAAATATCGGAGGTAGTATTCTAATGTCTAGTTTACTTTTTTCGTTTATCCGTTTATTTACGGGTAATACGCTATCGAGAGCTTTCTTTTTATCTTCGAGTAATAATATAAGCTAGACTAGAAGTCGCTCGTAAATAAGCTTCCCTTATCACTAACTATCCCGTCTAAGTAGCCGTATCTTATATATATCTTTTAATATAGTAATTCTATTAATTCGGCGGCTAATAAGGTAGTAATAATAAGGAAGAATTCCGCTATCTTCGTATAGCGATTTATTATTACGAGGATAGCGTTTACCTCCTAACCTCGATACTAAACTTCCGGGAATTCCGTTATAAAGTCTATCGAGATCTCCTTCTAAGGGCCGGTTAGTAAAGGTAAAGACTATAGTTCGTTATAAGGGCGATACTAAGGCGCTCGTATTTCCTAGTAAACCTAATACCCCGTAACCTACTCCTTTATATCTAGCCCTATACTTCTTTAGTAATACTTACGTAAGAAGAGCTTATAAGTCCTCTTCTCGTTAAAATATCCCGCTAAGGAATCGTTATAATAGCGTATTATAAGCTCTTTCCTAACGCCCGGCTTCATAAGGATATAGACTCGGTTTTAATACCTAACTAACTTATTTCTATTTACCGCTTATAAGGAGTTATCGGCTCTAACGGAGCTATCCGTTACTTCTAGCTCCTTTCTTCGCCTTTTAAGCTTAAGGTTACTTTTCTAAATACGTTAAAATAATACTCTTATAGTTTCGGTAACGTTTTCGTATATCGTTTCTTAAATTATTATTTCGCTAGCTTTTCGCC